CTCTCTTCTCCTCTCTCTACATATATACATACCCCCCTCCCTTAAATTTAGTCTTGAAGGTTTCTGGCCTTTCTTAGACTATAATAAATAGGCATTCAGACTTTTGGCTCTTGTGCATACCTCAGAGCACTATTTATCAATCATAACATGAAGTAAATATGTGAATCTCCATTGAGCACAAGAAGTGTTTTCATTTGAATTAGTAAATTATGTAACATTCAGACCCCACTCACATTGAACTGTCAACTCTTGTGCATTCTAAATTTGTCTAATTTGCTGCAGCACACAATAACAAGCATTGCTGAAGAGCTGCAGAGCATGCTCTCCCAGCAGAACTCTGCATACCTGGCGCACGTGGCTTCATGTGAACAGTAGGTAGTGGTGGTTCTGGGTTTTGTCTGCCCACTATCATGTCCCATGTTCTGTCCTCTGATTTATAAAATTGCTTAATTTTGATGATCTTTACAGAGTTGATTAGGGCACAAAGGGTCAAGGGCTACAGGAAAGTGGGTAAGACTATTTTTTTCCACATTATTGCTTTCTTTTTTTTTTCTGTATCTGGGGTAAAGGGAGAGATAAAGGGAGAAGCCCCACCCAGCCTCCCACCCATCCTAGGTCCCCAGTGTGGGGCATGCTCTGAGGGTCCTGCTCAAGTGGTTTTGATAATTCAACAGTTCTGAATTGCCTGTCTTCTGATTTTTATGGAGACTTCTTCATTGCTTGTGGTCCAGTGGGTTTGCCATCAGGAGGCCTCATGCCTCTATGACCAATAGGGATGAGACCATAACTCCAAATGGATGCATGAAGGGTGCCAACCCCCAGCATCCATGCTTAGAGACAGCACGTGACTCAGAACCCTGAGGCCCTTGCTTAGGGAATCCATCGGAGAAGGAAGCCACATAGGATAGTCTGATGTCACGAGGTCACTCTGTGTCCAGCTGTGCTTGTCTGCAATGGGACTTCCTAGTTAAATCAAAAAACCTTTTTGCTTAGGCAAATTGAAGTTGGATTTCTAGAACTTGCAATCAGTGGAGTTCCAAAAAAATAGGATTTCTTTTGAAAAGTTAAAATAACCACACTATCCATTCTGTCCCAAGTCCCTTCTTACTGTTTGAAATTGCAAACATTTAGATGCTTGCAATTTCAATGATGGATCTGAGTGCAAGACACACTGAGCCTAGAAGCTCATGTCAAACAATTTTTTATTTTCTTATGGTACAAATTAAAAGTGACAGATCTGAAGCTGTTAAGAAATACACAAAGTGCAGCTTTACCGACCATACAGATATTGCTCTAGATTACGTACAGTTTTTTTTTGTTTTTTGTTTTTTTTTAAACATTAAGCAACCTGTGCAGATAAATCAGCTTTGGTTTCAATGTCAGAGCAAGTAAGGAGCTTTTAAATATCCAGTTTGGCTTCTTGGTCACAAGTCTTACCACGTCAACTTCTCTTCATAATTTTCTCAAAACAACCCAGTCTGAATTTTTTTCCCCAGCCCTCCCTCCTGCTGCCCACTCCACACATGGAGAGACAGATCTCGGTGTGGTGCCTCCTAAGTGACCCTGGTGACCAGTCTAGATCATAGCACAGAGGACAAAAATTAAATCACTTGAACAACAAAGGAACAAGGGTGCCGCACATAATCTCAAGCTGAAGACAAGCAAATCACATGACAAAAAGCTCATTACAAAATGTTCTCCAGATTTTACAGTCAAACATGGAAATGAAAATCAATTTCCTTTTTCTCCATTTTTGTTTTTTAGCTTGATCATGAACTGGGTACAAGTAGAGTGCTGAGGTAAAACATGGACGAACAGTTTGTATTTCTTTTTTCTTAAAATAGGAACAGTTTAGTATTGCGAGATTGTCAGCAACATTTAGCCATATCTACACAATGTGCATATACCTACAAATATTGAGCTTTGGTCCAGCGTAGAGAAGACGAGCAAAGGCATTTTACGATTTCTTTTTGGTTATAGCTTGAGTTCTTTGAAAAGCCTCTACTTGTTGTATTATTTTCCTAGCTCCTTTTGCTTTTTTTGTTTTCTCTTTTGTGTTGTGTTGTGTGTGTATGTGTATCTTTGTGATTACAAAAAAAAAAACCCAAAACTTGGTAAGTAAAACTTCTAACTGTTCAAAATCTGTTTTGATTGAAAAGGAAATCCACAAACAAGTGTAAAATACAACAGTATTTTCACTGAAGAATGAAGAAAATAAAGATGGCACTCATTTAAAAATCTGAGAAAGATATTGAAGCTTGAAATACAATCACATATACCCAAAGTGGCTTTTATTTTTTTTGTTGTGGCAACCTCAATCTTCAGTTCATGAAAACATAAGACACTTAAATGCTATTGGTGTGTGAAGTTGTTTACAAATAGAAACAAGAAATGTCATAATAAAACTAAGCGACAGGTGTGCTCCCGAAGATTTAATGAGTTACATAGTATAATTTATAATCCTAAAAATCTGTTCAGGCATCTTTTTATGCCCTGTAGC